GTTTGTTTGCCTTGGCAGGGCAACCTGCTGCGGAAAATGCTCATGAACAATTACCTGCAGAACAAGAGGTCCAGCTCCAAGGGGGAGATGGGGGATGCTGCTGGGGGAGGTGAGTGCCCCTCTGCTGCCCCTTCCCCTCCTTTCCTGCTCCCACAAACCCCAAATTCCCCTCTCCCAATGGGATGGGACCAGTTCTGTGGCTGATTTTGTGTCCCCATCTCCATGGGGGCAGAGGATTGGGGAGGTGAAGAGATGGGGAGGCTGCGGGGGGAGGTGAGCACCTCTCTCCTGCCCCTCTCCCGCCCCTCTCTCCTGCCCCTTCCCCTCCTTTCCTGCTCCCACACACCCCAATTCCTGTGATGGGGAATTGAGTCTATGGATTGGGTCTATTGGATGGGTCTGTGGCTGTTTTTGTGTCCCCATCTCCATGGGGGCAGAGGATTGGGGAGGTGAAGGGGGAGATGGGGGATGCTGCTGGGGAAGGTGAACACTCCTCTCCCACCCCTTCCCCTCCTTTCCTGTTCCCACACACCCCAAATTCCCCTCTCCCAATGGGATGGGACCAAGTCTGTGGCTGATTTTGTGTCCCCATCTCCATGGGGGCAGAGGATTGGGGAGGTGGAGAGATGGGGACGCTGTTGGGGAAGTGAGCACCTCTCTCCTGCCCCTCTCTCCTGCTCCTTCCCCTCCTTTCCTGCTCCCACACACCCCAATTCCCATGATGGGGAATTGGATCTATGGATTGGGTCTATTGGATGGGTCTGTGGCTGTTTCTGTGTCCCCATCTCCATGGGAGCAGAGGATTTGGGGAGGTGAAGGGGGAGTTGGGGATGCTGCTGGGGAAGGTGAGCACTCCTCTCCCACCCCTTCCCCTCCTTTCCTGCTCCCACACACCCGAAATTCGCCTCTCCCAATGGGATGGGACCAGGTCTGTGGCTGATTTTGTGTACCCTTTTCCATGGGGGCAGAGGACTGGGGAGGTGGAGAGATGGGGACGCTGTTGGGGAAGTGAGCACCTCTCTCCTGCCCCTCTCCCGCCCCTCTCTCCTGCTCCTTCCCCTCCTTTCCTGCTCCCACACACCCCAATTCCTGTGATGGGGAATTGAGTCTATGGATTGGGTCTATTGGATGGGTCTGTGGCTGTTTCTGTGTCCCCATCTCCATGGGGGCAGAGGATTTGGGGAGGTGAAGAGAGAGATGGGGACACTGCTGGGGGTGGTGAGCGCCTCTCTCCCGCCCCTCTCGCGTCCCTCTGCTGCCCCTCTCCCGCTCATTCCCCTCCTTTCCTGCTCCCACACACCCCAAATTCCCCTCTCCCAATGGGATGGGACCAGGTCTGTGGCTGGTTTTGTGTCCCCATCTCCATGGGGGCAGAGGATTGGGGAGGTGAAGGGGGGGATGGGGGATGCTGCTGGGGAAGGTGAACACTCCTCTCCTGCCCCTTCCCCTCCTTTCCTGCTCCCACACACCCCAGTTCCTGTGATGGGGAATTGAGTCTATGGATTGGGTCTATTGGATGGGTCTGTGGCTCGTTTCGTGTCCCCACCTCCCTGGAGCGGAGGATTTGGGGAGCTGAAGGGGTGCCCCAGCGGTGATGGAGCTGTGCTGGCTCTGTGCTCCCCCAGCATCATTATCCCCCTCGTGTCCTCTCTCGCAGGCCAGGACCAGGACTGGTCAGCCATCGCCGCTGTCCAGTGCCGGCTGGACCGGGAAGGGGCCACCAAGTTGGTGGCTGACCTCATCATGAACACCAAGAACGAGAAGATCTTCCAGGAGAGCATCCTGCTGGCCATCCGCCTGCTGGACGGCGGCAACACCGAGATCCAGGTGCCGAGGGGGATCCATGTGGGCAGTGGGAGAGTCCAGTGCTCTGCCCTGAGCATCGGGTTTGGCCAAAACACCTCTTGGTTGTGCTGAAATCCGATGATTTGGGTTATCCAGCTGCAGAAGGGGAAGGTGATTCCAGGTTGTTCCTGGAGTTCTGCTGATGCCCTCTGCCGGGAATTCCTAAAATGGTTCAGGGATGCAGCTCTTGCAGGCGACCACTGGGGTTATCCCAAACCCTTTGGCCCAGGGAAGCTGAAAATTTSTGTGTGCAAAACCCAGTGGGGCTCCAGGGAAAACCCAGGGTTATCCCAGACTGGTCTGGAGAGCCGAAGCTGCCGCTCRGAGGGACAGCCAGGGACACTTTGGACCTGGACGAGGCAGGAATCTGTCTTTTTACCAGAAATCCTTTTACAACCTCATGACGAGCGACAAGAAGTCCGAGAAGTTCTTCAAGGTTCTGCACGACCGCATGAAGAAGGCGCAGCAGGAGACCAARTCCACGGTGTCGGTGAACATGAGCGACATCGGCAACAAACCCCGCGAGGACAAGGACGAGCCGGACCCCGGCACCAAAGGTAYGGGGCCGTGTCCCCTTGTCCCCTCRGCACGGGTCACAGCCTGAGCTGATGAAGGGACAACTCCCTCCAGGACGAGGGGACACCTTCCTGATGCCCGGCACCCCGACGCGGTTCCCGATGGCCGTGGGGTTCCGAAAGGGCCACGATCCCGGCGAGCAGGGCCAGAACAACGAGATGGGGGTGACGGTGCTGATCATGGAGCCCATCCTGCGCTTCCTGCAGCTGCTCTGCGAGAACCACAACCGCGACCTGCAGGTCGGTGCYGGGGCTCCGGGGTTCCAGGGTCAGGCTGTGGGGTTGGGATCTGCCCCAGTTGCTGCGTGCCTCAGTTTCCCCATCTGCAATCAATGCACCATAACTTGGGGCGGGACTGGCTGTAGGTCACAGGGGTGGCCCCAGCYCAAATGTCCCTCAAAGTGCAGCTGGGAAGGGTGTGGGAATAGAGGGATCGGGACCCCATTGCTGGGCTGTGCTCCACAGAACTTCCTGCGGTGCCAAAACAACAAAACCAACTACAACCTGGTGTGCGAGACGCTGCAGTTCCTGGACATCATGTGCGGCAGCACCACGGGCGGGCTGGGRCTGCTCGGCCTCTACATCAACGAGTACAACGTGGCTCTCATCACCCAGACCCTGGAGACCCTCACTGAGTACTGCCAGGGGCCCTGCCAYGAGAACCAGGTCTGGTTTGGGGRTCATTCCTGGCGTTTCTGGGAGGATTTTGGGGGGATGTGTGGGAAAGCAGCAGAGTAGGGGCAGGTTTTGGGTTCAGAGTGTGAAGAGGAGCAGAATGTGGGCAATAGAGGTGACAGGGCTCCTGCCCAGCTCACCAGCTGCTGCCTGGCTGCAGAATGTGGTGATGCAAATATTGTTATGTAAATATTATAGTGATGTTAAATAATTCAGCGGTGTGAACAGAATCACAGAATCACCTGGGTTGGGAGAGACCTTCAAGATCTTTGAGTCCAATCCATGCCCTGACACCTCAACTAAACCACAGCACCAAGTGCCACATCCAATCTKYTWTWAA